CCGCCGCTTCCTTTCTTCCTTCCGCCACTTCATGCCTTCTGCTACTTCCTTCTGCCACTTCCTTCCGTGACTTCCTTCCTCCACTTCCTTCCCTTCCTTCCTTCCTTCTCTTCCTTCCCTTCCTTCCCTTCCTTACATCCGTCTTCCCTGCCTGTGGTCAAAGCCCCTCAAGAAAAAAAAAATACATTTTGGGCATAAAAACTGGCTTCTTGGCTATGCCAGTCTGAATGTCAAGGAATGCTGCCGTGGTGAAGAGTGGTGTCACTTTTCCTTTGCACCAGTGTCACTAGTTACCTCACAAATCTATGATGGAGTGATGAAACACTTAAAGCGCAGCCTCAGCCCCACAGTGGTGGCTGTATATCCCCATAGTCAGTTCCTGAAGCCAGGTTTCACTGGGAGCTTTAGCTGGGGTTCAGAGAGGAATGAGGATGTAGGGAGATTATATAGTCCGCTCACATGCTATAAGCTACTACTATAAATTTTGATGTTCAGTCCGTACTGCAGACCAAGGACGTTGTTTTAGTTATTCTTCAATAACTGGCACAATCACCCACACCAGAACAATCAGGCTTTGATTCAGTGAGGTGCTTAAGGACATGCTTCTAGTCTGGAAACTGGATGGTAACTGGAGTCCATTAACTCCTAGCAAACACTTAAGTAACTCACTGGATCAAGGATGGGGTTTTGTTCCTTGTTGATAGTATCATTCAGGTTAGATTCCTGATCGCTGTTATTTTAATATGAATTAAATATATGCAAATACTTCAGATCCATGCTGAGTTTACTCAGATGAGAATCTGACCCAGCACTTCTTATGGTAAGAAAAGGTAAAAGTGAATTTTTTTTCCTCCAAGATAAATAAATTCAAAACTGAGAAGAAAAAAAATTGTGTACAAATATCACATAACAACATCAACAATTCCATAGATGTAGTTCCTCAGTGCACACTTTAAACAAGATAAGGGTTTTTTTTTGTTCTTTTTCCGTTTTGCTTTTGAAGTCTGACATAATAATATTAAAGCTGACAAAAAATCAGGGCAAGCTACATCACTTCCTCATACAAAAAGAGTACAAAACATTAGCCTCTAACTAGACATAACATAATACTGGTTATCACAGTTAGACATTTAGTAACTGTGTGTCTTGGAGAATTTAGTGGAGGGTAGTAAAAAATAGCTTCGGTTGCCGATCTCCCATCTCAGGTTACTTCAGTCATAGAGGCAGAGTGATTCTGCAGAGGAAAAGGCAAACACATGAATGTTTGTATACAACACTCTGGCACTGACATACCTTACTAGTGTGCAAAAGCAATGGGAAAAACTCTCGCGCAAAAAAATTGCATTGTTGATGTATAGTCAAAGATTATAATTTAAGAAAATTAGCTTGTTCTGGTGGACATCAACCGGACTGAAAGGCAGTGTCTACCTGCAGTTCACAGTCCAGTAGCTATAAACAGCTGAATGGACAACATTTTTCTCACAGCCCATGAATATTTTCACCTGCTCAACCCTCCTGTCTACACAAAAAAATGTGGATATATAAGTAGGTAGCACTTAGTTTCTGGACTATAAACATATTGAGAGAGCATCTAATGTACACAGTTCTGCAGATTTAGTGGAAAGTCTTCCAGTAAATCTTTGCCTAATCAAAACTGACTCTTCAATTAAGCAAAGTACTTTCAGACACTAGAAACATTTTCTTTTTAAATTCCTCTTTTCAGTTTGTTTCACAAAGAGTTTAACTAAAGTCACTACTGATCTTGCCACACATCATAAGTGACAGGCCATCTAATAAAGGAAGTACAATTTAAAGACCAAATAAATTACACCAGTGTACTTCAGACAACTCATAAACTAGTTTCTCCTTGTTCCCAGAATTTCTTGGGTTACATTTACTTGTCTGTTTGGAAAGGACTGAGTATGATGCATTTATACTAACACAAGCCATTTAAAGTTAGTAGTTTAAACAAAAACACTATGAATATTGTTGTTCCCACCAGCTATTTTTTGCAGGCTTGAAAGAATGCTAATAATTTCTCTTCTGATGACCTAGAGATAGAAAAAAGTATATGATTTTTTCTTATTATAGAAGATACTGGACAATAATAAGGATAAAAACCTAACCTCTATATTATTTTGGAGGACAGACTAGTTTATCCTCAGGGAAGAGTAAATCCTTCATATATCCTAAAAGTTTTCTGGAATGTAATTAGGCAGAATTATTTTTACTTTTCTCTCAGTTTTCTATTCTTCTAAGAAAAAGTTTGTGAGGCATGTGAAATCCTACTTTAGCTGTGGGCATGTATAGGAGCAGAAGATATACAGTATTTGGTAGTTTCAGGGATAAATTACTTAAAACAAACTCTGCCATGATGCTGATTCACTCTTTTCAATGGGTTTAAAATGAGGCATGTGTAGTCAGGTACAAAACTACTTTTTACCCTGATGCAACAGAAAATATGCTTGGTGATGGTCTGGGTAAGAGATTTACAGTACCTGTGCACTCAGTGTCTCCAGAGGACTTTCCACCCTGGGAAAAGCCATAAGTGGCATTCCTCGTGGGTCTTCAGGCTTCGGTTTAGAAGGAGCTGCATTACTGCCCTTAAAGTTATGGACAACACATATCCCCTGTGTAATGCAGAAAAAAACCGGAGTGAGTTCAGTGTGTTCCATCCCCAGGAAAACCTGGAGGGGGAAATGCCATGTGGGGCACAACTGAAAGAAATTAACCTGGGTTTGGCTTCAAGGCATCATCTGTCTCATCCTTAGGCAGCAGTGTGTTTACTGACATGGCTGGGCATGGTGGACTGCCTTGGTGATGAACCATTCTCAGCCTTTTTACATTTCACACTGGAGACAGCAGGGACCCCCATGTGTGCCTTATCATCCCAGAATCACAGACTACCTGAATGATACCCTTTACTGGCCAAATACTCCCTTAAGAGTCTGACTTTGTCACTTCCAAACAGTGAACATATCTCTGTGGATGGCTGAATCTCCCTCCCATCTGGATGGCACCACAGCACCATTCCGGCAAGCTTCCAGCAACACTGCTGTGGTGCTTATGCATGACCAGACTCACAGCACCCACATGGTGATGGTGATGCCAGGAAGAGTAACCATGCATGGCAGTGGGTAGCTTGAGGACATGGAAAGAAAAACGTACACAGGAGCTGACACGTTTGCTGGTGGAGTGATTTCTGCAGCCAGCTCCTTGCTGGCTGTTCCCCTTCACTTCCAGAGACCTGAGCAAGAAGCAGGCTGCTGGGTGGGTCCTGTGCCAGCAGGGTCTGTGCCAGGAATCTGACAGTACCCCTCAGGGGAGACCCCTACCTCCACTCTGAAATTTAGGTTGTGACACTTTTAGGGTGCCAGAAGGTCTGCAAGGTCAAAATACAGCTGGGGACAGGCTGTCACTGCCACAAACAGGTACTGGGAGCACAGACACTGTCCTAACCTGATAGATGGGGCAACTGTCTCTTAAATTGCATGGGTGAGATTTAAGCTGCTCTTCCCAGTGGGAACCAGAAAAATTATTCACATTAGAATAGCCAAAGAGATTCAGGTCAAAGGCTGTAGACATCTTTTTATCTGAAATTAACACAAGAATAAATAATGCTTGAAGGTTTGTTGTTGTTGCTTTTTAAAGTACAGAATAGAAAAAAAATCAATGACAGGACAATCAAGATTTAAGGGATCTTTGAAAACTAATGCCTCCTGATTACAGGGATAAAGTGTCTGTTGCTGTGCAGTAGACAGTTTTGAATCACATTTTGATTAAATGGAACCAGGCATATCTCTTGGTAATAGTGAGAATGACCTGGACTGCTTGCTGTGTGATCAAATCCTCAGCAAGAGGCCTCCCACCAAACAAGACATTTAAACCACGCAGCCTACAGGAGAGCCAGTTACACTCAGAGTCTGGAGAGATGCTCTTCCTAGATTCTGTGGGAAGGCCTTTGATATATTTTAGTTTGTTTGGCTATCCTGTGAGGGGGCAAAGGGAGGTAGTTTTATCTCCAAGGGAATTTATCCTGACCTTCCCTTCTACTGCATTTTCTTTATGGTCTGAAACAAAATGCAGAACCAGGATCACAAATCGGAGCCCCAGAAAACTCCCTGTACCTCACATTTTTACCTGTATGTGGCACACAGAGGAGTTTTGCAACACAGAGAAGGAGTCTCAAGCACACCCTCCTTTTGATACTGTAATCTACACCACCTTTTGCAGCATTTTCCAGAACAGATCAAGTAAGAACATGTAGAGCAATTCAAATAATTGAAACATATGAAATGTACAAATGCTACCAAATTAGACTTATCAATTAGTATGAACCTGATTTCATATTAGGATTTTCTTTGATAACACTTTTAATTAGATGGTGCTAGAATTAAATTTTGCAGATTAAATCTGGCTCTAAGTGATTAAAATTTTTAGTTTCGTTTTTTTGGTTTTTTTTTTTTTTTTTTTTTTTTTTTTAAAGCTGTGGTATTTTTAAAAGGAACCCAGAAGGACTGATGGACTTACCAGAAACAAGGCTACAGCACTCCCCAGGATGAAGCCTGCAATCACATCCGAACAGTGGTTTCGATACTCAGACACTCGATTTAGCCCTGTGAGGAAGGCAGCACACAGGGTTCCCAGACACAGCACAGGCTTGGCTAGCCTGCTACTCTTTGTTTTAATTGTGCTTGTGATGTACATCTGTAAGAAAGGGCAAACCAAAAATTGTGCTTGTGATGTACATCTGTAAGAAAGGACAAACCAAACCACCAGAAATGCATCTTTCCCACCCAGACAAATCCTAAATCAGCAAGGATGTGACAAATGCCATGATTCATTAAAAAAAAAAAAAAAAAAAAAAAAAAGGCATAGGGAAATAGAGGAAGAGATTCAGGTAATTCAGAGAACTTCTAGGAGTACAAATCCAATATTGTTCAATGATGTGAAATATCTTCTTGCATTTACATACTGGACCTTTTCTGAGCAGTAATGCAATGGCTTAACTTTACTGATTTTGTGCAAGTACAATCTGAATACACACTAAACTAAACGTTTGCAAAGGGACTGAGGAATTCATGCTTATACTCCTGCAGAAACTGTAATGTGCAGAAGATGAAGTGCTTAGAATCTCTATGAACTAACTGCCCCCGTTGCCTAGATGGTGTTGAGTTTAAGGAACTCTCAGAGAACACTGAGAGAAACCATTCCAGCCTTTTCCCCTACAAGATGAAAGGAAATACACAGTATGAGAGAAGTTTCTTTCAAAACAAAGTTGATTTTTGAGAATGTAAGTTCCACTGTTCTCCAAATATTTTTTAACAAACACCACATATTTCTGGCATGTGGATTTGTTTGGAATTTTTTTAATACATTCTAACAGCGTGCAGCCTGTCATTAGTACTAGAACCACAAAATTACAAAGATGAAGCAAACTCAGCCTGATGACAAAGAAATTCATTAAAATTCTTTTCAGCCAACAAATATGTAAGCCTGCATGATGTCCAAAGCTTTAATAATTTGGGATGTTCCTACTTCCTTTGTTTTTCACACCTGAACCTGACTGCAGCAGATGCCTTGCAACAGCTAATGGTGAGCACTAGGTGGCAACCTTGCCCCAGTCTTGGCTGTCAGGTTAAACTGCACCTGTCACCAAAATTCACATTAAGGTTCTTTGGAAACAATAGGAAAAAAATATAATCATTGCCACTGCAGGAATAATTACCACCCACCCTTTCACCCTATGTACTCCTTCTACTCAATTCAATCGAGCAATAGGGAGCTGGATTGCTTTTTTGTTCCCCACCAAAGCACTACTACCGATTGCAGTGTCCAAAGGAAAACCCATCACCTCTTAAAAGTAAGGCTGCAGTCCTGCTGCGACAGCTGTGAACCCCAGCTGCAGGGTAAAACCCACACATGCTTGTTTCCTTACAGGTATGAGATGAAGTTAGACCTTTGGGTTACTCACATGTGATGGTTCACTTTGTCACAGATGGGAAATATCTGTTATTGGAGTTTCACATGTCTCGGCAAGAAAATGTAAACTTGTAGTAAAAAGAACATTTTAGCAAGGACAGTAATCAATGACGAGAACAGATTGCTAAGGGAAATCTTTTAAACCTTCATGAGGAGTTTAAATGAACTGTTTTCCCAGAAGGCGGGCTGCAGTTCATTCCTAAGTCACACGCTATGTTCAGAAATAACTGGGAGAGCTTCTCCATTCTGATCAGACTTCCTTATCACTGCAGCTTGATTTTTATTGTCCAGGCCCAAAAGCCAAGATACTTTTTTAGGATTCTCACAGTGTTTACCTGTTACCACTGAAGATTAATAGATCACGCGGACACAAGTCGAGGTGTGGTGAAAAGAAGAGTTTATTTTTCCTCCCAGGATTTATAGGCTTCGTACCACAGCCAGGGATTGGATGGTCAGGATAACACTTTCTCACTGCACTGGCCATGAGAGATGCCCATCACAAGACGTGTAACAGAAAGAATGTACACATATCTATGTTTACAGTTACTGTCCTGGGAAAGTCTTTAGAAAACTATGTTAGCAAGCTCAGAAGCTGAGTTTTCAGGGTGACATTTACCCACAATTAAAGCATGGTTTCAGAGCTTTGTGCAAGAGACCAAAACCTCAGTCAAAGCCACTTAACATTTGGTTTACTACACACAGCAAGTGTTTCTGAAAATTTCCCACAATGCTATCCATAGAGTAAATTTATTTACAAAACTCTAAATGTCAAAACCAGAGAGGAGGAAAGATGTGAATATAAAAACATGTCTAGAACATATAATATTAAAAAATAAACTGCACATTATTTATCTATATAATTTGTCTGTTCAGCTTTTTTGCTGTGATCTTATCAGTACACTCAAGCAATGTATTTAGCAATATGCAGTGTGTGACAGCAGCTTTTATCCAGTGTAATTCCTCTCCCATCTTTATCAGAGATAAAATCATAGACAAGGAGGCTTTTTTTTCTTGTCTGCAAGTTTAAAATAGACATATACATTTATATATATATATATATATATATATATATATGCAAATATATGCATGTATTTAGTATACATATCTATAATGAGAAAGGCAGAGTGGAAGAAATCTGTCTTGTCCCTTCAGCAGAAAGTGAGGAGATTTGTGACAGTTTATTTTCCTTAGAAAATTCAAAATTTCCTATCAATATTGCAAAAGTCTGTGTTCTGGACAAACTTTTCTTTTACCACAGAGATTCCTACAGTAAAAGAGAAGAAGATCCTTTGACAACAATGCTCAGTGCAGATGCTCATAGTGCCAAGAACCTGAATTGATCAGGGTTGCAGCAGGTATTTATTGTATTGTCCTCTGCTATTCAGCATTTCCAAATCTTGGGGGATTCATATCCAGGTGCAGAGACCCAGAGAAGCTGACTTTAGTCATGGGCTAGACTGTAGAGGTGCATCTCTCCCCCTTCCCTGGTTGCACTATGAACTGGGAAACACTCTTTAAGCCTTGACCCTGACATACTGCACCTGGACTAATCCTCTACTGAATGTATCAGAAACACTGTTCCCAATATGTAACAGGTGTTTAACAAGCACTTGCTTTTTAAAGAACAGCCTTGGAAACTTATTTTTCCTGCCTGAATAACTACCGAAGTGGTTGCTTTAATATTTTTCTTAAATGAACCTTCAAAGAAAGTTACTGACTGAAATAGTGGCTATGATGGAAGATTACCACAACTAAAACCCAGTCTCTTGGGATCCTCTAAACAAGGGTCCAAAGTGAGATCTTTTTGAGCTCTTGACTCCCAGAAGATAAGGGGGTAGTGTATATGTCTCCAATACTGATAAATGGATGGCCATGGACCCAACCAAGGACTGTTGGTAATAACAGACAAGAATTGTTGGTAATAACCAAGGATTGTTGTTATTAACACAGCCATGAGAAATATCATGTTTTGGCTGGAGAAGAGGCACCAGAGCTAAGGCATTTTTCTATGACAAACCGCTACAACACGGCACAGGAAATGGGCATGGACTATAGGATGAGATTAAAACTACCCAAGACCACTGAAGCTCTCCAGCCATTTCCAGAGAGACTGGAAGAATGGACTGCACATGATAATTAATTTACAGAAAAAGTGAGAAACCCATCTTTGGGGAGAGGAAACCTGCCCATAAAAAGGTATCCTCCCAAGCCGAGGCAGTGCCCCCAGGACTCTCTGGACATCTTATGGGCTGGGCCAATGCAAGTGGATCAATGCTGAAACCAGGATTGACATCCCATCACCTGGATTCATGCTGGAACCAGGAATGTGATCTCTTTTTCTAACCATTTCTTTTTTCTTGGAAAAGGAACTTAAATTCATATGAGTGCACAGCAGCTTGCACTAGGTACAGTGACTGCCATCTCTTCCTGTGGTCATTTTGGGAGATTGATAAAACTTTAGATGGCTTTTTTTTTTTTTTTTTTTTTTTTTTTTTTGGTAT